CTGCTCTGCTGGGAGCCCTGCTTGTGCCCGTGAGGAGGGGAAAGGCAACCACCTTAGACCAAAGAGGCTAGAAACAGCCTTGTTCTCCTTTCCATATCTTTCTAGGGGTTAGGAACCAGACATCACTCACTATCTGCTGTAGGATTAGCTTAGCCTCAAGCAAAACATTTCCATGCACAGCCTTGCTTGCTACACCTCTATTTGAGAGTGGCTCTTTATCACTAAAAAAAATTGAGTGGTCTTACACGTATTTCTTGCACAGTGAGGTTTGCAGGGATCCTGGGGGCACTGTTTCTGAAGAGTCACGGCAGCCTGAGGTTGCACTTTAGACCAGTGCTGCATTAGAGAACCTGACATTTGAAAGATATTAAATAGAGCATGCAATTCCAAGGAGACAGTGTTCCCAGCTCATAGGAAATTTTAGTCTCAGGTCCTACGGGCTTTGTTTATCACTGCAGTTGTTCTCCAACAATCACTCTTGCTGCTTTCTTTCCTCAGGTGACATTGATACCAACACATGACACTGAGGTGACACGAGAATGGTACCAGCAAACCCATGAGAAACAGCAGGAGCTGAACATCATGGTCCTGGCAAGCAGCAGCACTGTTGTGATGCAAGATGAATCCTTCCCAGCCTGTAAGATTGAGTTCTAAGTCTCCCACCACCCTTTGCACTCATCCATCGACTCTCCAATCATCAATACAACATCAGAGATGCCATCTAATCACAGTCCAGTTCTTCTCTGGTTTAGTCTTCTACATGGTTCCCATTTGTCAGGCAATCGGGTACCCAGCAAGCTCAGCACTGGTTGTCATGAGAGAGGAGTGGAAGGAGCTCTGTAATTCTCTGGACTGAGTTAAGAGATTGTGCAAGGGCAGCTGCAGGCCAAGGGCACCTTCCCTTTCCCTGCTTTATGCTGCTGCTTCTACAGTTTCTGTAGAATATCTTGTCTGCCTTGCTGCTGTGAGAGCTTATCCTATTCTCTTCCTGGCTGCCTTGCCATTTGACTTGTAGCACCTTGAAGCTCATCTTCCCAGCGTGGGCTGAAATGCTGCTGCTGCTTGAAGACATAGTTGGGGAGAGGGAAGAGAGGAAACCAATTTTCAAAGAAAATGGAGCTGGGAGATGAGGGAAGGCCAAACCCTCCAACCAGTAGTGAGACTCCTGAATACCTGACCACAAAGGGCACTGCCCTTGTGCACCTGAGCACGCAGCTATTCTGCAAGAGAGGGCCAGGCTCCAGATAGCAGCTTCATGAGTTTCTGTCCTGAGCTTGTGGAAGGCTGCAGCTCCTGCTCATCCTCCTCACTGTGGTCAAGAAGTTGGGCTGAAGGATGTCTGGATGTGAGGGCGGTGGTGAGGAGTCAGCCTATGGCTCTGCTACAAGGAGCACATTCCTACCCTTCTGACCGAGCTGTGCACAGCAGCAGTGGCTAACGAACTCCAGCACATCAGCAGTGTGATAGCAGGAGGCGACTAACACGCGAGAGCAACCAAAACGCACAAGTACCGAACTCTACAAAGCAGAAGGGCTGAAGCAACCCTGGCCTCTGTTGGCTGATGACGTACTGACAATACCCCACACTCACAAACCAAAGGCTCTTTTGAGTGTGGGGAGGCAGCCAGCAACCCTGCATGCTGCGGAAGAGATGCTCTTTTCTGGATAGTGCAGCTGGTATGTGCTGGCCTCACATCAGCAGCAGGAGTCCTCTCCCGGCCTGTGTGCCAGTGGTCCAGCTTCTTGATGACAGTCAACTATTTTGCTACCCCTAAGTGTTCCTGTGGGGAACAGCGGCTGCCTTGCAAGGAAAGGGACCCTCCTTCCCCAACCACTGCAGGAAAGTAGTTCAGTGAATGTGCTTGCTTTCAGTTCCTCCACACTGGTGGCAGGGACACGCACACGTCGGCTGCCAGCACAACTGAGCTGCTGGCAGGATGCGCTGTGCAAACGTGTGCCTGCAGCGACAGGCCCATTGCTTGCACACAGACCATGGGCTTGTGCCCGTGCACTCAGGAGTGCGCCAGGTGCCACGAGAGCACCAGTGTTGCTGGATGCCACCCAGAGCCTCCTTGGCCTTCAAACCATCTCTAGCTGTGGGATTCCAGCACGCTGGGGAGAGCAGCTCAGCTGCCTGGAGCCCACAGCAGCAGTGCCACAGCTCAGAGCACTGCAAGGTCCGGTCGCAGGCAGGACTTTTACTTTCAGTTAGTGAGACGAARAGAGCAGCAGCAGGACATGTCCTGGGAAGGAGGCCTAAGATAGAAAGCAACGTGTTGAGGCTTGGCACACCAACTCAGCGCATTTCCAGTTGCTTTGCTGCCCACTGTGCTTGGCCCGGGCCCAGGCCTGGCTCCAGAATTAGCATCCCAGGACTGGGCTGTGCTTGCCTGGGACATGCTTGTCTCACTGATAGTTTTCTGGCAGCTGCCATAAAGGAAATGCTGCCTTAGAAGCCTGCTCCTAGCACTAAATGGGATTTCTAGGGAAATCATTTATTTTGCATTTAATTTATATATTTATATTTTGATGTTAAGCTACATTTTGCGTGGATTTAATATTTTAATTTATACATATTAACATGGCACCATGCATTCCAGGTGTCAATCATAGGTCTCAGCACAAATACGCAGATGCTGTGATTTAGAGAGGAGAGAGAGCGCAGAGATGGGGCAATGTCTGTGCTGGCAGTGAGAGGGCTGGAGCCTGAAGGGCCGTGTCCAAATCCAGCACCTGCAGGCTGCTTCCCCAGGACAGGCAGCCCTTCTGGCACAAGCTAGTGGGAACACACGAGCTTGCTTGGGGGTCCACAGAATCCCTGTCCTGTGCTGTACTCATTTAAACCACTGGATTGCAGCGCGTTTGCGCTTGTTTGGAAGAACAAATGCCATCTCTGTAATCCAGCAGGGTCAGCGCCTGTGAGTGCAGGGCAGGGCCAGCGGCGCAGGCAGCGCCAGCCCACTGCTCTCCTCCCCATTGCGGCTCCGGGGCTTTGCCTTCAGCGTGTGGGAGATGCAGGCTTGGGCAGAACCTCTCCCTCAGCACCACGTAGCTGTAGGAGCAGCTGCTGCAGCCCGGAGCCCCAGCTCCCTCCTGGGGTGAGGAAGAAAAGCTAATGCACTAATGCTAGGTAGATCCACACATGAATGTTTCTCCATTTTAAACTTGAAGCAATTCTGGCTAAGAAGCAGTGGTAGCTTTGCAAGGTGCCTGCATCCTCCGGCAGGAGCATGGGGCTCCTGCACTGCAGCTTTATCCGATATCCATTCGCTCCCCACATCCTTAAAACTCCACTCGTTTTTTTAATCTTTTGTAGCAGTCTGTGCTGCCTTCAGCCTCTCTCTCTCTCTCTCTCTCTCTCTCTCTCTCTCTCTCTCTCTCTCTCTCTTTCTTTCTCTCTCTCCCCCTGCCCCCAAAAATAAAACTATGGGGAAAAAGACTTGTAAAATGCCACCTTTGTAAAGGTCTGACCCTGCTTAGCCTGCAGGCCCCATCAGAGCCAGAGGTAATACAACACCGTAGAAAAACATTAAACTCTGCTTTTGCTTGTTTCTGCATGTGGGCAACAATGTGTAATCTTCCTGTATGTAATAGGTTAAAAAAATATTTTAAACCTATAATTAAAGAAGTGAACGTCTTAACTGTATTGAAATGGCAACTTGTACTCCTAGCCTCCGCCTGTGCTGGCTGCTTTAAACCAGAGCCCTGATTCCTTTCTTCAGAATCATGTCTATTCAGCTCCTTGACTTCTGCTCCTCTGCCCCTTCTACCTGGATCACTGTAACCAAAACTGTCAAGGGAGGAGCCCAGCACAGTAATAATAAAGCCACATTCATTGCGAACAAGATCACTCAGCTGTTTTAAACTGTTGTTTGAGCGGGTGCACAGCGCAGGCCTGGGCAGGTGGCTGCAGCTCCTGCTCCCGCCTCCTTCCCCCCAGCGCCCAGGGGCCGCCCAGCTGGCAGCGGCTCCCTGCTCTGCGCCTCCCTGCTCTGGGACCCTGCGCTCTGCAGTGCAGCAGCAGCAGAGGCGGCCGTTTTACCAGGCCTTTGTACAAGGGAAACCTGCTCCACAGCTGCTGCGGAGGCTCCTGCTCCAGGAGCCCTCACTCACACTGTCAAGTGCGCAGCTCCCCGCCATCACCCCGGAGGGAGCAGCACCCAGCGCCGGCGCGTGGGAGGTGCCAGCTTTGGCAGGGGCAGCGCTCCCACCTACGCACATGCTGCCCGCACAGGCACCAGCCAAGCCTGGCAGCAGAGGCAGCTCCGCTTGCCCAGGGACCTGCTGCTGGAGCAGTGGAGCTGCCCCGTGCTCGCCCCCGGAGCAGGATGCGCTGCCTGGGCAGGGGAGCTGCCCTGCAGGCCGCTGCAGAGCCCCCGCGCGGGCACCCAAGCTCAGGGCTCCTGCTCTCACGGGGCCTCCTGGGGGGCCGCCCACGTGGGCCCCTTGCAGCACACAAGCAACCCCCTTCATGGTCCCAGCCTTCACGAGCCCAAGCCAACCACGAGCCCCCGGGACGACAGGACCAAGGTCCCGCCTGGCAGAGCCTTGCACTGGAGGACTGCTGCAGTTGGAGGGGCAGGAAACACTACCCTACTTGAAGTCTGAAGCTGTCAGCCAAGGGTGACCAGTGTGGGGAAGAGGACATGGCACACAGGCCACACAGGTCTGGGTCAAGCGAAAGGTGTCTAATGCTCTGTCCCAGCATTTTCACTGTACAGCAAATTTCATTGTACCATGCATACCTGCAGCCAGGCGCTCTTCCCCCTTACAGCCTCCGGGAGAGGAACTGGGCAGGCCCCGTGGCAGCACCTGTGCTGTACTGGAGCCCGTCCTGGGCTGGTGGCTGCGGCAGGATGGCCAGCAATGGGCAGCGCTGGTGCCCGCCCCTCCTCTCATTTGCAGGCTCTGGCTTGCACACGCTCTGGGGAAACTCAGCATCAAAGACAGACACAAGAGCCACAGCATCAGTTTACTGTGAACACACGTTATCATGACACAGCACAGAGATCTTTGGGCACAGCTTCATGGAAACAGATTCTAGCTACAGACAGACACACAGACTCATCCATAAATATGGGAGACACAGCCCTGGCCTGTACCCAGGAGGTGACAGCAACACCTGTGCCAATCCTGCCCTCAGGCTTGTGCTCATGAGTCAGTTACATAAATATGCATTAAATAATTTTCAGTTTATATACAATAAAGATTTTCTCCTTACTGGTTTCTAATAATCCTGATTTGCTCATATAGCAGTTTCTCTTATTTTTTGTCACCAAAGAGTTCAGAGCTTTATCGTGTCTGACTCCTGGGGACAAGAAAAACCCGTGTGATCCTCCCTGCTCAACTCAGACTAGACCCCCAGGTTGCTGCCTGTCCCAGCCCAGGTGGAAAGCATGCAAGGCCACTCCAAGGAGAGGTTTTCTTGTAACTGGAAGTCTTGAACCTGATCACTGCATTACTCTCCTTCCCCCATCCTTTCAGACTTCCTTCTGCTTCTCCCACGCTTCTGGCCAAGGGCTCTCTGGCTCTGTTTTTGGCAATCAACAGGGGATGGAGAGGTGGAGAAAAGGAGGAAGAAGCAGAGAGGAGTTTGGTGGTTATGGTGAAGCCCAGGTCCTTTGGGCAAGGATCTGAAGGCTGCAGAACAGGATTTCCAGGGAGCAATCACCCCCTTTTGCCTCGTCACACCAGAAGCCTTGGCCCTCCCGTCCCCAGGCGCCGCTGCCCTGGCAAGCACTCAGCTCTGGAACACGTGCGCGGAAGCAGCTCCCCGTCACTGCTCCATGGAGGTGCTAGACCAGCACAAAGACTGCAAGTGCTGCCAGCTTAACGTGGCACATGGGAGTTGTCACTTGCCAGACAGCAGAGAGCTGGCTCGCATGGGAGTGGAGCAGACTCCCCAGCACCTCAGAGTCCTGGGCCTGGGGACATGGCTTCCTCTGCGCTACGGACAGCCAGCCGCACGACGCACTGTGCAGGAAGCTGGGTCGACTCCAGGTGAGAAGAGCCGGCCGCCAACGCACTGCCCCGCGAGCCGCTAGTTCTGCTCATCCTGCTGGCGCAGTGGCTGCAGCTCCTCCACGCTCGTCTCGGGAAGCAGTAGCTGCTCCTGGTCCAACAGAGCACTGTCCCCAAGTGACTCCTTGCCCACAGGCTCTGGCTCCAACACCTCTCCCAGCAGCTCTTCCTCACAGAGCACCAAAGTCTCCTCCCACAGCTCTGACTGATCCAGGTCCACCATTCCTCCTGGCCACTCACCTGGCTTCACTCTATCCTCAGTAGTCCTTACCTCAGACCCTCCCCTACATTCTGGCTCCCCTGCATTATTTAGATCTAACATTTCCCCAGGCCATTCTTCTGCATTCAGCTCCACAACACTCTTCTTCTTTGGGTCAGAGTTCTTGCCCGTCACCTCCATCTTGCATTGCTCCAGGGCAYCGCCTGACTCAGGACTCTTATTCCAGATCGGGGTCTCTGGGGCACTCGGCTCCCCGCTAGGCTTATCCATGGACAGCTCAGACATGCCTAGCTTCGAGTCAAGCACTCCGTCTGAGGGCTCTGCCTCCCCCTGGTCAGGGGACAGGTTATTCAGCTGCTCCTCGCTTTTTGGGGGGCTGATGGAAAGTTTCTCAATGAAGCTGAAACGAGCACAGCTGTCCAAAGAAGTTGGGGAGGACGGGCCTGCACTGGAGACAGTGCTGGAGGGACCACTGCTGTCTGCAAAGACGAAGAAAAATCTTAGACATTTAGGTAAAATTTTCACAACCCAAACCCTGTGTAGACCCAAACTGTCCCCAGTCCCACAACTCTCCAAGCAAGCAGGAAGGGTCATCTCCATTGGGTGCAATCTGGCAGGAGTGCACAGCTGCTGTTAGGTGTGTTCCTGGCAGCTCAGCTATCAAAAGCCAAAGGACAGATACCACACTTGCATCCTGTCACACACTGCTCTGTTGACATACAGCTAAGAGTGGTGCTGACAGCCTTATAGGGCAAAATGTGAAATCTGATGTAGGACTTTGGGCTGAAAAGCATTTTCTTTCATTTCCTCATTATTATGAGACACTGCCAGCTTCAGCCTTGCTCCCTTTGGTTTCTAAATGTTAAACAGTTCCTAAATGTTAAGTTAGAGTTGCCTTTGGAAGAAGTGGTGTTACCTCTCTGTTAAGGCATGCTCTTGCCTTACATTGCACAACAAGCTGGACTACAGAATAATCTAGGTTAAAACTAATCCAACAAAGGCAGAGGATTAAACATCTGTTTTCAGCCAGATCAGTTCCCTGACCTTGCTGTGTACGTGTACACTAGGTCTGGCACAAGTAAGGCAGCGCCAGAAGAAGGCGGCTGTTCTTTCAGTTGAAACCAGATCTGTGTTAAGCTATTTGCTGTGCAACTGTCTGCTAACCCTGTGCCCTGCAAATCCCTGTTAGGTCTTTGCAATCAACAGTCATCAACTCTGCAAGCTGGAAAATGAGACACGGAAGCTATTAAAAAAAAAGGACAGAAATGAAAAATCAAAGGACAGGCTGTCCTACATGGAGATCTGGCTGAGGCATCGACATGGTTGGACAGAAAGGGAAGACATTTCCACATGCCGAAACTAAGTTACCTGTGTGTCACCGAGATCCACAGAACTTGATATGAAAATGAAGTGCATTTAGTCCCTGCGTGTCTCAGCGCACAGTCGAGGATGAGGGACAACACCCATCCAACAAGAGATGCCCCAGCAATGTACAGTACTCTAAAACAAGCAGGGTTTGCATCTTTCTCTGGAAACTCTCCAGCACCGCAGATGTCTACTTTCTCCTTCATCTATTTCCCCTTTGCTTCCACCCTTTCCCAATCAGTTTCTGTTCCACCAAAAGCAGAGCCTAGAAGCCCTAAGAGCACCACAGACTGATTGTCACCATGCAGCACCCTCTATTCCCCCCCTCACCATTACATTCATTTCTGAACAGGAAAGGATCGCACTCACACCAAGGGGGTTTATCCAAACGCTGCCGCAGCGGGAAAGAGGATGATGACAGGACTCGCTGAGACATAAAGGGGTCTCCTGGTATCTGGCTGCCAATCATTGAATCATACAGAGCTAAAAAAAAAAAAAAAAAAAAA